TAATTGAATAAACTTCTGAAAAGAGGACAGACAGAAAGGAAAAAGGATAATAATTATGAATGTGAAGAATGTGGGAACAAAGACACTATGACAGAATTAAGGAACAACAATAATAATGATAATGATACGAGTAACTCAAAAATCCAGTAATAATAATAACAATAATTATCTTTCTTATCATAATATTGGTAGTAGTAGCTAGCAGTAGTAGCAATAATAGTTAAAACAAAATTAGCAGCAACATGGATCAAAAAAAAAAAAAAAAAAAAAAAAAAAAAAAAAAAAAAAAAATAAATAAATGAAAAAAAAAAAAAAAAAAAAATAATATATATATATAATAATATTTATGTAAAAACATACGATGAAGACACTTTTGAAATACTATTGGCTGTGTTCTTTCCATATACGGTGTCCTAGCAAACTTGATGGTGGTGCCATGTCAGTCAAGTGATAGTCGCGGTTTCCCTGATTTTCATTCGAGTGTAGGTCAATTAACCTGCCACATCCTATACATTTTGGCAAGAATGAGTTTAGGTTGGTTACTTATTTGATGATAAATCACCTCGGCATGATTCTAACAAGATCGAAAAGATTAATTTCACTAGAACCTAAACGATGGAGATTTGTCTGCCTCTGTTAGAACACTGGCAGCAGATAAATAAGTGTCTTCTTAATGTTTACCATGTTTGAGAAAAAAAGAAAATAAAAAAAAGGAGGAGAAAAGAAAAAGAAGAAGAAAAGAAAGAAAGAAGAAGAGAGGAAAAGAAGAAGAAGAAGAGAAGGAAGAAGAAAGAGAAAAGAAGAAGAAGAGAGAGGAGAGTAAGCAGAGGAAGAGAAGAAGGAAGGAAGAAGAAAGAAGGAAAGAAAAGAAGAAGAAGAAGAAGAAGAAGAAGGAAAAGAAGAAGAAGAAGAAAGAAGAAGAAAGAGAAGAAAAAAAAAAGAACTGAAAATATTATGCATAGAAAATAACATTTGTTAAACTGTTTGATATTATGAAAACCATGGGTACATCAAGTAATAACTTTTAAACTAAACAAAGTTAAATTTAAGTGATACATTAAAAAACACAAGCAGACTAAAGCATTTGTAAGTATACTTAAGCAGCAGAACAAAACCATAGCATCATTAAATATACTAAGCAACGAAGCTGAAAATAACAGAATAAGCATAGTGTAAAGTAAAATTTTCAACCATTAGTAATTTTCGCAATACCTCTGCATGTCCAATCGCCACAATTTTGGCATCGATGGATTCCTTTCACCCTTTAGTACGCATATACGAAGGAATTATGCCGTGGATCCTTCCCTGCAACCCCACTATCGGCCCCCCAAACCCCTGCTCAGGAAAACAAGGCATTCACCAAATATTCACGGCAAGATAGAGCATACGACCTACAAGCGAGGCAAATGCGGCAATATATAACCTACTAACCTGATTGATAGATGCTACTGAGCCGAGCGGGTAATTCTCTCATGCCTCTATCTGCTGTACATACATGGATTCGGTTTCCAGGGCAGGGGTTGGGGGGGCAGCAGCCAGCCAGGGGGAAGGGTCGCTGGGGGCATAGCTCCCTGCATTATACATTGCAGTGATTTATTCATTATATATCCTTATCACAGATACGTATTTTCTCTAATCTATGCCCATTTAGCCCCGCAGTTTCCCCGGTACCTTTCACGGCCTCCCCTGCTATCGGGGCCGAGACTGTCTCTAATGAGGGCGTTTCAGCGGCATGATTTTGATTTGGATTATAGAGAGTGAGAGGAATTTATCGATACCAAATTCATCACTATTAGTTATGAAATAATTCTGTAAAATTACCAATTACTTATCATTCTCTCTCTATGTGTGTGTGCGTATATATATAATATATATATATTATATATATATATATATATATATATATATATATATATATATATAATATTATATATATATATATATATATATAATATAGTGTACATACAGATTTCAACATAAATTCTCTGCAAAGATGAAACCAGCTGTTAAATAACTCATGATAAAATAGATAAAAAGTGGATAATTTTGAGTTTTTGGTCATTTAATATTTTTTGATTACTTAACAGAACCGAATTATGTATTTCTTACATAAATGATTATCTGCCCGATCCCCTAATAACTACAAAAAAATAACGAGAAAATATACCTAATCACTCCCGGACCCAAAATAAAGAAAGAAAAAACATTAAATTCATCAAAAAACTCAAAAAAACTCAAAAAAATCCGTGATCGAAAACCGAAATAATTCAAAAATACCCACCCATGCTCCCCAGACCCTCCCTCATTTCCCCTCATTTCTCCCCCGCAGAGCCACCCCACGCGCTGTCAATCCACTCAGAAAATGGCCACAGACTCACGGAACATTGAGCTTAATCCTCTTAACGTTGTCATTGTGCTCTCGACTCGACATCTTCAAAAAAGGGAAAAATCTGAAGCGGTTTTCATGTAGAACTTCGCGACGCCCGGGGACAAGGGACGCGTTCGCCGATGCCCGGATTGCCGCGTGCGGATTCGCGGATTTGCGGATGCGCGGATTTGTAGGATGTAGGATGTGGGATGTATGAATTTGCGGATTTACAGATGCGCGGATTTGCAAGATGTATGAATTTGCGGATTTACAGATGCGCGGATTTGTAAGATGTATGAATTTGCGGATTTTCAGATGCGCGGATTGTAAAGTGTATGATTTGCGGATTTGCGGATGCGCGGATTTGTAAGATGTATGAATTTGCGGATTTCCAGATGCGCGGATTAATAAGATGTATGAATTCACGGATTTTCAGATGCAAGGATTTGTAAGATGTATGAATTTGCGGATTTACAAGATGTATGACGATTTACAGATGCGCAGATTTACGAGATGTATGAATCCGCTTCAGATGCGCAGATTTGCAAGATGTTTTCGCGATTACAAGATGTATGAATTGCGGATTTACAGATGTATGAATTTGCGGATTTACAGATGCGCAGATTTACGAGATGTATGAATCTGCTTCAGATGCGCAGATTTCAGATTATGAATTCGGGATTTACAAGATGTATGAATTGCGGATTTACAAGATGTATGAATTTGCGGATTTACAGAATGCGCAGATTTACGAGATGTATGAATCTGCTTCAGATGCGCAGATTTGCAAGATGTATGAATTCGCGGATTTACAGATGCTCGGAAATTGCGGATTCCAAGGCGGACCTCTGAGATAACAATTTTCCCGGCCTTTCTATTCATTTATGACCAATATTTAATCTTAAAATTCCGATTGTCATTGTGTGTATACTGTGTGGGTAATTGTACATAAATACAAGTATGAATGTATTTAATGATGTTTATTAATAGTATAGGTGTGAGAAGCACCTATACTATTATCCAGTTTTGATTTGTTTTATGTCTTCCATGGATATACATTATGGATTATCTTTAGAATTATATTGAAACTATGAACAGCGCATATTCATTCTTTGATCCTGTTGGTATAACTGTATGATGCCCTAAAACCCACACTAATTTGGTCTTTATTGCTCTCTCTGTTTATCCATTTTTTGCGGATACCTCCTACGTCACGAGGAATAATAATATTTATCCATCTCAGTTTTTATATATATATTGATCTGATTATGCTTTTCTTTTCTAGTTTATTTCCTTTGAAATAAGGCAAAGGTTTGATTTATTTCTCAAAGTTAATACATTGCCAAATTCCATAACGTTAACACCTATTGATGAAAAAACAAGAAGGGAAACCATAAACACTCGCTCTTCTCTCTCTCTCTCTTTCCTTTCTCTCCGTCTCTCTCTCTTCCTTTCTCTCCCTCTCTCTCTTTCCTCTCCCTCCCTCCCTTCTCTTTTTCCTCTCCCTCCCCTCCCTCCTCTCCTCCTCTCCCTTCTCTCCTCTCCCCCTCCCTCCCTCTCTCTCCCTCCCTTCTCGCCTCTCCCCTCCCTCCTCTCTCTTTTTTCCTCTCCTCCCTCCCTCTCTTTTTTCCTCTCCCCTCCTCTCTCTCTTTTTCCTCTCCCTCGCCTCCCTCTCTCTTTTCCTCTCCCTCCTCCCCTCTCTTTTTCCTCTCCCTCCCTCCCTCTCTCTTTTTCCTTTTCCCTCCCTCCCTCTCTCCTTTCCCTCTCCCTCCCTCCTCTCCTCTTTTTCCTCTCCCCTCCCTCCCTCTCTCTTTTTCCTCTCCTCCTCCCTCTCTCTTTTTCCTCCTCCCTCCCTCCTCTCTCTTTTTCTCTCCCTCTCCTCTCTCCTCTCCCTCCTCCCTCTCTCTTTTCCTCTCCTCCCTCCCTCTCTCTCTCTTTCTCTCTCCCTCCCTCTCCTCTCTCTCTCTTTCCTCTCCCTCCCTCCCTCTCTCTCTCTCTTTTCCTCTCCTCCCTCTCCTCCTCTCTCTCTCTTTCCTCTCCCTCCTCCCTCTCTCTCTCTTTTCCTCTACCTCCCTCCCTCCCTCTCTCTCTCTTTCCTCTCCTCCCCCCTCTCTCTCTCTCTTTCCCTCTACCTCCCTCCTCTCCCTCTCTCTCTTTCCACAAACCAACCAAGCTTCGTTCTGCAACACCAAACGACCATGGCCGAGGCAAGTCAAAGGAAAGCTTCACAATTCACGCTTCGCTCCTCAGTTTAGCATTGATATCTGATATCCATGGAATTCTGAAAAAAAGCGTCTGCACCGGTCGAGTCTCGGCTTCGGGAGAACCGTGGCGAATTTTTTTTTTTAAGGACTGAAATGGCAAAAATGGAGCTGGGTCTCCCTCCCTCTCTCTCTCTCTCTCTTCCTCTCCCTCCTCCCTCTCTGTCTCTCTTTCCTCTCCCTCCCTCCCTCTCTCTCTCTCTTCCTCTCCTCCTCCTCCTCTCCTCCCCTCCCTCTCCCTCTCTCTCTCTTTCCTCTCCCTCCCTCACTCCTCCCCCTCTCTCCTCTTTCCTCTCCCTCCTCCCTCCCCCTCTCTCTCTCTCTTTCCTCTCCTCCCTCCCTCTCCCTCCCTCCCTCCCCCTCTCTCTATCTCTTTTCCATAAACCAATCAAGCTTCGTTCTGCAACACCAAACGAGCCATGGCCGAGGCAAATCAAAGGAAAGCTTTGCAATTCACGCTTCGCTCCCTCAGTTTAGCATTCTTTAATTTAGAATTCTGAAAAAAAAAGCATTTGCACCGGTCGAGTCTCGGCTTCGGGAGAACCGTGGCGACTTTTTTTTTTTAGGACTGAAATGGCAAAAATGGAGCTGGGTCTTTTTTTTTTTTTTGTCTTGGTCGCAGCGAGGCAGCCGTGGCGTGAGAACCATGCAAATTGGAGTTTCTGATAGATTTAGTGCAAGAGCGATCCTGCAATATGTAATTCCAGTGACCACAGCCATTGAGATCGTGATGCCATAACTTCTCTGTGGAAAGAGGTTGTTGTTCCTATGAATAACAAGCAAAAAGGGTTTTTATTCACAGTAGTTTGTAAAGTAGGCCTAAATGCAAGAATATACATTCCTAAATCATTCGATCTTGCCATTAGAAAGCTTCACCTTGAAAAAACAAAATATTTATCCAACATATCACGAACTTCCTATATAGAGTCTATTGTAGGCCTATTGTTTCTTGTTGATGTCAGGCCTGAATTTGAATAATGATAATAATAATCACTTGCATTGTAATTAAAATCGTTTTCATGTTCAATGAATTTGTGAAATACGCAAAAACTTTACTTAGAATTTTCGCTTATCATTCCAAAGAAATACGGATTTACTTCAGCGTGGTTTAGCAGATGAGGAATAAATTATTGTTTCCAAATCGGGTCTCTTGCTGTTTAATCCACGAATCCGTTTTCGTGTTCGCCTTAAAAAAAAATAATAAATAAATAAAAATAAAAAATAAAAATCCTTAATAAAAACCGAAATAATTCAAAAATACCCCCCCATGCTCCCCCCCTCCCCCCCCCCCCCCCAGTCACCACACGCGCTGTCAATCCACTCATAAAAAAGCCTTTTCTCCTTCTACGACGACGAATCCATGACAAAATCAAGGACTTCAGCGAGAGAAACTGGACCTGTCCTCGCTGAAATCTGCGGCGTCACTGAGCTGATTCGCCTCGCCTCGCCTCGCCTCGCCTCCTCTCGCCTCGCCTCGCCTCGCCTCCCCACCCATCCCCTCGCCTCGCCTCGCCACCCCTCGCCTCGCCTTGCCTCCCCACCCTCGCCTCGCCTTGCCTCCCCACCTCCCCTCCCCCGCCCTCGCCTCCCCTCCCCTTCCCCTCGCCTGGCCTCCCTTCCCACCCCTCGCCTCACCTCCCTTTCCCCTCGCCTCGCCTCCCCTCGCGCTATGTAAACGGAAAATCTCAAAAGGACTCGCACAATTCGCCTCATACGGACTCGTCGCGGCTCGACTCGCTTGGTGGTAAACCTGTATGACCAAGTATGACCTAGATAGACCAGAAGAAGAAAGAAAAAAATGTATATAAATGTATATATTTATACATTTACATATATATATATATATATATATATATATATAATATATACACACACATGTATATAATATAGTATATATATGTATATATGTATAATATATATGTATATAAAAAATAATATACATGTATAAATAATATAAATGTATATTTGAATAATATAGTATATATATGTATATATATATATGTATACATATATGTATATGTATAAGCATATATATGTATGGATATGTATATACATATATGTATATATAGGTATATGTATATGTATATGTATATGTCTATATATATATATATATATATATATATATATATATATATATATATATATATATGTCTATATATATATATATATAATATATATATATATATATATGTATGTATGTATATATATTGTCAAGAATACACACCCGTAAATGGTCAGAGCGGTTGTCAACAATATGGCCAACCAGACGGTCCGGCGAATTCACCCCCCCCCCCTGTCACGGCCGGAAGTACTGACGCGCCCAAAATAAGAGAAGCAGGCACACGGCCAACAGGACAGGAGCCGCTGGATAAAAGGACGTCTCGTCAGGCAGACCGGGGATTAGTCGCTTTAGTCATGTCAACAAAATCACGTGGTGCCCCTGTTATTCGGCAAGGAAACCAACTGCTACATCACATACACCACAGGAACTCCAGGGTGGTAAAAGGATGCAAATCAAACAGCTGCCCAATGGTGCCAGTGGTGGTATGAAAAGATATGATGATGAACATCAAAATCCATAAAAACTATATGAAGCCAAAAACCCTAAAAAATATAACAGATAAAAAACAAACAAAAAGGAGGTTTTTACGTTTTTTTTTTTACTTTAAGTCCAATTACCAATTATTAATGTAATTAATGTCAGCATTGCAATCTATTAATCTTATTCATCAACCATCTCACTTACCCCCCTCCCTCGTACTCCAGACATGATCAACAATATATTAATTATGTACCATGCAAGGTGTTTCGCCCCCCCCTTCTGTTATCCTTCTACTTATTTCCATTTCTCACTGCTCTCTCCTCCCTCTC